TTGTAAGGTGACTTAAACCTGGAATATCCAGAAGAAAAAGAAATTGTAATCAAGGACACTGAGAAGCAAGACAGGTCTAAGGTATATTTAGCCTCTGAGTCCATCCTTTCTAATTTTCGGAGCCCAATGCTGAGTCTGAGGACTCTGGTTCAGAGATAGTAAAAGAACTATTGTCAAAACAGGCCCATAAATTTGGGCATTATGACATTCTTGAGAATACATGCCTAAGTTCAGAGTCACGGTAAGTTTAATGCCCTGGTTTCTAGCAGTAGCACCAGTCGTAGAGGTCCAGAATGTACTTTACTGATTTCAGGTACCTACTCCAAACAGAATCTTGCAATTCTTATCCTAAGAGAGATAAGGGCTTATAAGCAAGATCCTTTGCAATGTCCTTATCTGGCTGGTAATGGACTTGTGTGCTCCACGTGCCCAGCACCCAGCAAAGAAGAATGAGGATACGCATCAGAGAGAATCCACAGGGACTGGTAACTGCAGCGGCCTGGCCCCCACCCAGCTGTCTGGGAGGCCATCCGGGCTCTGCGGCAGCATAAAGGGAGGGGCAGTCAGGCTCGCGCACCACTGTCGCACAGAATCCTTTTGTTTTTGTGTAAATATCCTAAAGTATACCTGTTAGGCTTTGGTTTGGTTGGGTATTGGAGCCCATGACAAGTTACCCCCGCAGTCCTACGAGCCTGGAGACTTCTAGGTGCAGATGTGATTCTAACAAACTACCTCATCGAGAATAAAGCTCGGTATGAGCGCTTTTCTACCTGCTGTGTTCTGTTGTCGTTATTCAGTCTCAGGGAATCCAGAGTAAACTTGCCTGGAACTGAAACCCCCTTCGGCCTGGAGCTACACCATGGGGTCCTGAGAAACAGCCACTCACTGTTGTACTGCAGCCACTCAGTTTGGGGTGATTTGTCACAGAGCAGTAGGAAACCAGAACACCAGGTCCTAGAGGATTTTTCTGGGCATAGGAAAATGGGAGAAACTGAAAGAAAACACAAAGAAAGGGAAACCACAAAATTCTCATCCTCAAGAGTTTGATTCATATTGTCAAGGTTTTGTGAATGTTCCCATTCCTGAAGCATCCCTGTTACATTGTGTCTAGAAAAAGATTTCCTGGTCAGAT